TCTTGCATAGAAAACTTCGATAACAACAAACTTATCAGCAAAATAAATTTACTGAGGGGTTCTGGCCTTCAATTGTTGAATTTTACAACGAAGCTAGAACCTTTTCTTCTGAAATATGCTGGTGGTGAAAATTTAACAAAGAGTATAAACAAAGAGTTGGCCTTATTTTTGGAGTTGAGATTTGAAAAATCAAGCATAACAGATGATTCAATTGCTAATATGTCAGTTAAACACTGGATCAAAGAATCCATCCAAAATTACAGATACCCAGGAGCAGATTCGTTCATTACCAATGATTGCGGAAGTTTGAGTCAAACCGAGTCAGATTTAGTAACGAACCCTTTCGTATTGATGACATCAAAACTCACTGAAAGTGTTGGCTGCAAAAAACTTGCAGTTCCAGAAGTGACCAGCAATTTAACTTACATTTATCTTGCATGTCAGTTTGAGCAATCGGAAAACTTTGAGCCATCTTGCAAAACAGATAAATGCATCTTTGGCGATTCTAGTTACAATAAGTTTTGCGAGGTTGGATTTTGGAAGCAAACTTATCCTGAATCTTTTGATCTCGACAGCGAGACTGTCCATCTGCAGCCTTGTAACAGCAGAATAGGTTGTCCAATCATTTCTTCAGATTACAGCGATGCCTTTGATATCACCACATCTACAAAATATCCGGATATTTTTGGGTACCCGGATTCGAACCCGCCTTCAAATCCGGTTGAATCTTCATCTGCCGAGCCTTCTAAGAAGAGAAGAAAACGCCGAAAACCAAATGCAAAAACCGTGTTTAATATTAAATGTCATTTTATATACTTGATGTCCTGCTTTTGCTCTATTTTAAATCTAAATTAATTAAGACAACACTTTTTTCCAATTCTCAAGTTAATCTTTTTTTTTTTAGTCATTTTTCGAGTTCAACTTCAAAACTTCGATACAAATGTTTTATCGGCTCTTTTTCCTTTTCTCCCCCACCTCACACAAGCATCAATTTTATGGTCTAAGGAGTGGTTTTACAAGGTTGATTATGAAGATCAAATATGTTTGCCATGGCCTAATCAGTCTACATGTCAACATTTTCATGACAATCGGACGATGTAGACAGTAATTTGAATTATAAAAATTTGCAGGTGGGGGGGGGGGGGCGGGTTAGGAAAAAGAGCCGTTTTTATCTAACACTTACTTGCTGCAATTTGCAAGCTGCATAGATTAATTTATACGTAAAAACATATTTTCGAGAGAAAAAAAACACAAATCTAAGGTTACATAGCCAGAGGAATACTTTGACTTCCTGCTACGAACTTAAAAAGTCACGAGAAAAATATTTAAAATCTACTATTTTTGTAATAGCTAATCGACAGAAAAGCTGAAGCGTCGGATTGAGTAACAATGAACTGCAAACAATCCTTGAGTACCAGGCCAGGGCCCTAATATATACCCATCTAGGAATTCAAAGAAATCAACGCTGTTTACAAAACTTTTGATAAAATCTGTGCAAACTTTTTGAATACTTTCACAGCGTCGCAAAATCATTTCTATGCTCAAAACAATTTTATCCAAAAAATATTTGAATGAAATATTTTAAAGTTGTTGTCTATAACGCAATACAGACTCATTTTTTAACAAAAACAAAATATTTTTTTTGTAAGTTTCCTGCAAAAAGATTTGAAATTGTCTTGCAAAAACAAATGAAATTTAGAATTTGTTTGGCTAGATCTGTGCTCCGCTTGCAAGAAGTAAATAAGATTTTTTAGGTAATTTTCACCTTTTCACATTTTTCTTATGAAAAAAACCCTATAATTGCAGCTTTTTTTGAAAAAAAAAATACCTTAAAATTTTCAGTTTGCCCCAAACAGACTTCGTTTTTTCCACTCCATTCACGATAAAAAGTGCTCTTTTCCAATCTCAAATTTTTAAATTTTCTATTTTATTGTAACGGAATATTTGTGCTCGGGTGAGTTTTTTTCTTCAGAAAGATTTCGACTTTTTAACTAGCCTTTTTTGACAACATTTTTTTTATGTAATGTTGTGCTAAGCTTAGATTGGAAAAAATATTTCATCTGGCATCATTTTTCGTAAAGTTATGGGGTTTAAAGATTGCTATTTTGGCCAATTTGGGACAACTAACACGCGATATATTTCGAGCTATTAACGCGTCAGTGGAGATCTAATCCGCTTACTAATCGTTCCAAATTGGTTTATGGAGGCGTTTTACCGAAATTGAATTTTACTAAAAGTGAAGTATATCACTTTAAACTTTATATGGCGTGATTTTCACCAAAAATTGATTTTCACAAAAAAATCTGAAATTAAAAAAATACTTTCATTTTTTTCATTACAATTAGTTTTTTATGCTATTACTGCTCCATAGATCTCATCAGTCAGTCGGAACATTCAGCATCTGACGTGTTGTATCTGGGTTTTGGGTACCTGGGAATTAACTGATGTTAGCGTTTAACAAACATATGTGCAAAGTTAGTTTACATTTCCTTTGGTTAACTCAGGTTGTTTCAAACTTTAGCTTATGAGACATTGTATGGGTATTCTGCGACAGCGGATAATTTTTTGTGCCGACTTTCGTAACGAAAACAACGGAATAATTGTGCTTGGGGTGGGTTTTTTTTCTTCAGACAAATTTCTACTTTTTAACAAGCCATTTTTGACGGAATTTTTTTAAATCATTCAAAAGTTATGTTGTCCTGGGCTTAAATATGAAAAGATATTTTACCTGTGATTCTTCTTAGTTATGGGGGTTTAAAGTTTAGAGAATGCAATTTCGGCCAACTCGGGGCAATTAACAATATATTTTTGGGCTCCTAACGCGTAAGCGGAGATTTAATCTGTCTTAGATATTATTCCAAATTTGTTAAAGGAAGCTTATTTGCCATAATTTATTTGATAATAGGAAAAAAATTTATTACTTCGTCTTTTATCTCAATTTTTTTTTCATTCTAATTTATTACTATTAATTTTTTCATGTTGTTAATGCTTCATAGACCTTAAAGGGCAGTCTGAACATTCAGAGATTTGACCTGATACGAGCAGTCTTGTTTTTTTTCTAAAATTTTCCGAGCAAAAAATGGAAAGTATTTTGTAACAAAAACCGGCTCTCCTCCACTTTTCCCCCACCTTTCAGAATTTCTAATTTTATAGTTGTTATACGTGTTATTATGGCTAAATGCATCTTGTAACAATGTAAAAAATGAAGATCAAATCTGTTCACAATTGTTAATATGTTCACTACGCCAAGTTTTAGTGCAATTTGACAATGACATATTTTAATTTTTTTCAAAATTAAAATTTAAAAGTGTGGGGGTGGGGGTGGAAAAGAGCCTAATAATCTTGAAACAATTAGAGCTCAAATTCTTAAGAAGTAGTAAGAATTTTTTTAAAAAAATCCAAGATAGCGGTTTTTGGTCAGCCTGGTCTGGAAAGTTTGTAACAAAGACTACTATAGTCTCGCCCAAACACAGCAAAACCCAAAAAGTCGCACAAAACTCAAAAGTTTGATTAAGACAAAATTGATCTGGAACTTTATCAGCAAAATGCAGATGAAAGTTGTGATCTTCAAGATTTAAGAGGGATGCACGCCGTCAATAGCTGCAAATCCTTTAGTGTTATTGGCTAGCCGCGAGACAACTTCGGTGGAATGAGTGAACATCAAATTTGGACCTGAAGCACAACTCAACGGTACGTCACTCCAGCTTACAATCGTATCTATTCTTACGACGATAGTTTGTTCACTTTTATGTGCGGTCATTGTGGCGTATCCCGATGACACATCGGGCTTCAAATGTAACAAGACTGCTCGTATCGTTGAAACTGCTGAAAGTTTCGACTGCCCTATAAATTTTTGGTTTGACCCCGTACGTCTTATCAGTACATATGTAAATCTTGTGAAAAATTGCTTGTGAAATTGCTGGTTGTTTTTTGATAAACTATATTTGTGAACAATTTGGAACAAGTTTGAGAGCAAAATTATTTGCAACGCATAATAGTTCGCATTACGCTTTCAGCATCATATAAACAATCTTCAAAGCCCGAATAATATAATACAGAATATGGCAAAATTTGCAATTTTCAAATCTGCAGAAGTGTGCTGAAACAATTGCACAAAAAATTTCAAATTTCGACGGGATTTGTTTTCTCATATCGCATTTTCCCACTAGACCCAAAAATCTCAAAAATCATAACATTACGAAACAAATTTTTTCACATGTAACATCTTTTAAGTTTGAGCCCAAGTTGCTAATAGTTTATAGATGATATGAACTCTCGTCAAAAACGAGTAAGAGCAGTTTTGCTGCTACAAAATTTTGCTCAATGCAAAATTTGGCAAATCTATCTATTGTTACCATTTGAATTCAATTTTTTTCTGTCCAGCTTTTCATTGGAGTGCAAGCTTTTTTGTTGAAAACTAATGCTTCCATCACCAAAATGTAAGTCAAAAATTACAGCACATACATTTTTTCTCTGAAGTTCGAAACAACAAGATTTGTCGTTGATGTTGCTACTGCTTTTTACTGTCTATGAACATCTTTTTGTTAATAAAAATGATTTAAAAAAATAAATTCAAACAAACTTTGATTTTTGTTCCGATTTTCGTAACGAAAGTAACGGAATATTTGTGCTCGGGGTCAGTTTTTTTTCCTCAGACAAACTTCGACTTTTCAATTAGCCATTTTTGACGGAATTTTATTTCTACATCATTCGAAAGCTATTGTTGTCCTAAGCTTAAATTTGAAAAATTATTTCGAGATTTTTTTCAAACAATTATAGGGCTTTAAAGATTGCAATTTTTGCCAGTTTGGCCAATTTGGGACAATTAACGCGCGATATGTTTCGCGCTATTAACGCGTACTCGAGATTTAATCTGTCTAAAATTTGTTAAAAATTGGATCAAGGAAGCTTTTATGCCATAATTGATTTGTTAATAGGAAACAAAATCTATCACTTTGAACTTAATATGGCGTGTGGGGGATGATTTTTGCAAAAAAACCTAAACTTATTAAAAATTTATATTTTATCTTTTTTTTTCATTTAATTTTTTGTGTTATTTTATTTTGTTAACACTTGGAAGCTTACAATCGTATCTATTTTTACGACGATAGTTTGTTCGCTTTTATGTGCGGTCATTGTGGGGGAATGTTTTTACAAAAAATCTCACTTTTTTCTAGACAAAAAATAATTTTATTTTGTTACATTTGAATTTTTCATGTTAATAATGTTCCATAGACCTTAAAAGGCAATCGCAACGTTCAGGGCTTTGCCCTGATACGAGCAGTCTAGTTCTTACGACTTTCGCAACGAAAGTAACAGAATATTTCTGCTCGGGGTGGGTTTTTTTCTTCAGACAAAATTCGACTTTTTAACAGAATTTGTTCCATTTTTGACAGAATTTGTTTATATCATTCGAAAATTTTTACTGTCCTAAGCTTAAAGTTGAAAAGAGATTTCACTTGTGGTTTTTTTGTACAATTATGGGGGTTTAAAGATTGCAATTTTGGCCAGTTTGGCCAATTTGGGACAATTAACGCGCGATATATTTCGCGCTATTAACGCGTAAGCGAGATTTAATCTGTCTTAGAAATTATTCCAAATTAGTTCAAGGAAGCTTTTTTGCCATAATTTTTTTAATAGGAGCAAAATCTATCACTTTGTACTTAATATAGCGTGTGGGTGGATGATTTTTGCAAAAAAAAAACTTAAATTTATTAAAAATTTATATTTTATCTTTTTTTTTCATTTAATTTTTTGTGTTATTTTATTTTTTTACATTTAGTTTTTCATAATTTCACTGCTCTATAGACCTTAAAAGGCACTCGGAACATTCAGGGTTTTGTCCTGATACGAGCAGTTTTGTTTTGTTTGTTATTTATTTTCTGCCTGATTTGCATGCAATGCAAAGTACAAAGTGATATGTTTCGCATCTAGTATCGTACCAATCAGACCAAGTTGCTGGCCTCATTGCAAATTTCAACGACTATGGGTTCACTCCGTTAATTTAAATTGTATCATACGCATTGCGCGTTTAGTATCCCAAATTGACCAAATCGATTATTCTCAGTACCGTGCTAACATCGGAATCGGATCCCCCAAACCCTTTAAAAGAGAAGATTTAGTGCAAATCTTCGAGAAATAGCTTTTCCAGGGCAAAGATTTGACTGTTTAGAAGTACGAGGATCCAAATATTTCCAATTTTACAAGATTTTTAGGTAAGTTTGATGCTTGCAACATGTTCTCCTATCGAATAAATCACACAAACCTTGTTTACACTAGACTTAAAATTTTCAAACTCTTTTCAACTTTTGGAAAAATGATTCGATGAATGTTTTTCTACGTTTGAGCTGAGAACGTCTTTAGCTTTCAGGTATAAAGTTCCATCAAAAATGTGTCGTTTCAAATTTTATTGCTTGTGTCATGTTAGATTGCAATTATATAACACGCCGCCTACACTTCAATATAACGAAGTATAACGCGCGTTAGTTATTAGACTCGGTAACTTTCAAAACTCAAAACTTTACAAAAAAATGTTTGAACTATGAGCTCAAGGCATTAAGAGTAGCTATAAAAGGCTTAAAAAACTGAGACGTAGATTTTTGTGAATCTAAATCATTAAATCTGTTGGTGGAATCTGATAAGATTTATTCCGGACGAAAGTTTTATCTCATGCATTGATTTCGGATAGATATGCGCTTTTTTGTTTTCTATCAATGATTGGCGTATTAGGTTACTTTGCAGCTTTTATCGGGTCTGAAACCAATTCACCACTTTCCGATCAAATTCTGATCTAATTCAATTGACAAAAAAATGTATTCGTGAAACTTTATAACTCTCGGCTTCCCGTTGGTTTTAAACAGGGTGTGAAAAGTTACGAATTTCAATTTGTGGTTTGTTTTCCCATTTTTTGAAAAGTTAGTTTTTTATTATTGTTCACCAAAAGAATCTTTAACAAGAAAAAATTAAGAGAATATACGATGCATTTAACGATTTATCAATTATTGCTTTATTTTGTTCAATTAAAAGAAGTGGTTACATAATTTAGTGCAATTTATTTATCTGTCCAAAACTAATCTGATAAATGCATACTTAGCAATTTTTTTAAACTCTAGTCTTTACTCAATAAATCAAGATTTTACAATTTTCTTGTCTGATTTTGGGGGTAATTACTACAAGATTTGTTTGGTCTAAGTTTTAGTTCAACCTAAAGCCACAAAATATACTGTAAACATTCTGTTTAAAACAGCTTTAGTTTTACCAGTCAGCAACTAAGTTTTTTACAAGGAAGACAACTTTTTTAAATATCCCAATTGAAGGTGATAATTTGAAAGTATTTTAAAATGAAAGTAATTCATAAACTTTTTCGAGTTACGATCTCATCAATCAATTACACAAAAAATACAAATTCAGTTATAATTTCTTCGCACGTATACAATAAACCCCCATATAAAATAACGTTACCTCTAGGGCTTTAAGGATATTGTGAAACAAATGCAACAACTTCTCCCACAGTAAAAACAGCATATAGAGTAAATAACATCTTGAAATTATTAGATATATGCCAATCAATAACTTTAAATGAAGAACTATCAATTAATAAAACAAATAGTGATAAAAAACGAAAAACAGACTACTTTACAAAAACATCTTTTGTTAAACCAACATTTAAGATATCAAAACATACCACTGAACAAGAAAAATTTCTTACAATGTTAAATTTTCAACACTCTCAAATAACACAACAAGAACACTACTTAAATACCCAATGGTTTACGCTACACCTAAATTTGATGTTGGAAAAGTAAATTCACCACTACACCTTCCTCTGGTGTAATTGTCAAAAAACAACGAGCAAGTAAAGTTCCAATTCACTTACAGGATAAAGTCAATAGATTACTGGATATCTTTGAACAATACGAAATCATTTCTCCAGTTAATAAAGAAGAACAACCAGAAGGAAACGCATTCACAAATCCTGCTATTTTCCTCGCTAAAGGAGAATCATTGAAAATTGTTCTAGAAGCTAGATACCTCAACTCCTTTATTGATAAATCTAAGTGTAATTGGCCCATAGTACCTATTCAAGTGATTCTCACAAAAATAAAGTGAAATTTTTTTACATCAGCTGACATGAACAGCGCATATAATCAAATGCCACTAGATGAACAATCACGACCCTTAACAAAATTCGTTATTGGAAATAAACAAGACGAATTTAATAGACTTTTCAATGGAATTTCCATAGGACGAGCAGCATTTTTAGCTTTCATGAGTAAAATTTTTCGACCACTCATTCTCAGTACAAAATTTTATAACTTATTTAGACGATATTTTCCTGCAATCACAAGCGAAACACGAAAAGCTTAAAGTTTTGGAAAAATACCACCAAATACTTCTGAAAAAAAAACATGAAAGCAGCCTCAGACAAAACACATTTTTTTAACTCTTTTCAAATTCCGTGGGGATATTATTGAAGGAAATACAAATATCCCATTTAAATCTCGAATAGACGCAATCATAAAACTTCAACCTCCATCAAATAGAATGAAATTCCAAGAAATTCTTGGAATGCTAAACTTGTTAAGTCAATACGTCCATAAAATGCAATTATACTCACGGCCATTTTATAATCTTCTCAGACAAAAAAATGATTTTGAATGGACAACAGAACACCAAAAACGATTTGAGGAAATAAAAACAATTCTCACTGAAAAAATATCAAATATTATCCCAGATCCAGACCAACCATTTTATGCTATGTGCGACACCTCCATTTTTGGAATCGGCGCATCATTATTACAATCACACAATGGAACAAACAAAATGACCCTTATTTGAGCAAATTCAAGACTATTTACACAAGCTGAACTTAAACTCTTTACACTTATGAGAGAATGCACAGCTATAATATATACTCTCGAAGAACATGAATTTCTAAAACTTGGATCAAAACATTCAAGAGTTCTATTTACAGATCATAAACCTATAATTTTTCTAATTACACAAAAGTCAAATCCAAACCATAGAGTTTATAGATTTCAAATTATTCTAATGAAATTCTCAAACTTATTTATAGTTTCGACTGCAGGAAAAAATCTTGCATTACCAGACACACTCAGTCAAATACACCACCTGATTTATTAAAAAGCAAAACAACAGTAGAAATACCACAAAATTTTCAGTTTTCCCGTGCAAAAAACGAAACATCACCACGATTAGAATGCAAATATGCAATAAAAAACCGACCTTGATCATGCTCGAATAAATAATTTACAACACTTTCTTTTTTATCTAGATTGCAAAAATAATCATTACGAAATAGACTTGTTAGGAAACTCTACATTTGAACCAATACCGTGTTGATCATGGATCAAAAACAATCAACAACAAAAACCAGTTAAGCAAAAAATGTGTAGGACAACCTATTCCTCTTAGTTGAAAAAGAAAATTTAAATGATAGAAAAAATTTATCAGGACCTCCTGTTTTATAGACTCAAAGTACACAATAAATCAAATTTTTTGACTTACATGACCCTCTAGATAAAATATCTTTTTCAAAAACAGAAACTGAAAATATCTTCCTATCAGCCACAGAACAAATGACACCTAAACTACTACAAAAAAACTCAAAACCTTGAGTCAGTTATTAAACCACTTCAATCTTGGCACAAATATAAAACTCGTAAAAGCAGATATTACAATTCTAGAAAACAAGACACTCCTTAGATACTTCTGAAAATCTAATACCACATCCATAAACAAAAACACCGTTATTTTGGAACACCGAACATCTGAATTAAAAGTACCTTGTTTAACACTATGTACGATACTCCTCTAGCATTTCCTATTTCACATTCCTTAAACACAAAAGGACATGCAGAATCAGAAAAAATATACTCAAATTTTATCCAAAATTGTTACTTTTCAAATGCACCGATTTGGATTAGAGTATTTTGTAACGATTGCATATCATGCCAATTAATCAAGCCCACATCAAAAACAAATAGCAGAAA